CTCTTTACCCATGAGTCTCTCTTGCACAGTGGATTTACTTTGTATACTGCATGTGTTGAAATTTGTTTTCAATTTTTACTTTGAGAACCCATTTCTCTGACATCATTTCTTGATCCTGTGCTCTTCCAGTTCGCAGCACCGGCTTTGCACAGCTCCCTCTGGGTTCAGCCTTTTCTTATAACACGTTGCTTGTCCAGGCTCCTCCTTCTACAGCACCGAATCTGTAGAGCTGTCCTGGTAATCACAGTGGGACGGAGAATCTCCTCCCTTCCTGGTTTCCTTCAGAACTAAATCGGTCCCCTATGAGTTCTAAATCTAGAAACCCTCGGACAATTTTCAGTCTCTCAAAGAATCTTCAGATTTTGATTGGAATTGCATTGAGCACATTAATTAATTATGTAAAACTTCACATTTAAAATGCCAATTCTCCCCAGGCATTTGTGCTTAAGTCTCTTCCTGATTTACAAGAGTTTTCTCTATATTTTCCATAAAAGATCTACTTTGAATATCTTTAAATTTATGCTCAGGTATTTTTTGGGTGTTATTTTAAATTCAGTGTTGCAAAATCTAATTTCATGCTTGTTTTCACTGTATAAAAATTCAATTGCCTGATGCCTGTTGGTTTCAAAATCAACAAATTCACAACACTCTTGCTTATTTTACTAATTTAATCTCAAGTTATACTTAACTCAGGTGTTTCTTTCACAGACTAATCTGAGGGATCAAGAAATTCTGTTGACCCCACTTTCAAATTCTGCCTCCAGAATCTGTCTCTACGGGCAGCTCACCCAGGCAAGTGCGATCCTGCCTGGCCTGTGATCACCACACTCAGGACGGGCCTCTGCATGCCCATCGGGATTCGACTCCAGGCCTGCAGTCACGCTCGGATGGACAGTGCCAGGCCCTGCCTGCCCATTGCCCCTCTCCTTCTGATAACTGTGGATTTGGCAAACTCCTCCAGGGTCAACTATACCAATATCTTTTTACCGTGATATACAGTATCAAATAATCCAACAAAGTTGCTTAGCACATAATTATGAGAGCCATGCCTGAGGTCACGTGATCATGGGGAAATGAGCAGTATTCTTTTTTACACAGCAACAAAAGATTGGGAAATATGAGTGACAGATCAAGACTTCTGGATTAACGGTTTGCTTCTACAATAACCAGGAGTATCCTTCTGCAAATTTAATTAAACTTTCATCCTTGTAAATAAGGTTAATTCTTGCCCCAGTGTCTTTCTCATTGTTCAAAGGACAAGAGCAAACACAGGGGAGGATTCTTCTAGGCTGCTGCCTCTGCCTGTCTGCTGCCTGTGTTGCAGGCATTTGGGAATCTCCCTCCCACAGAATTCTCCTGGATCTGCTTTCTAATACCTCAACAACACACACACACACACACACACACACACACGCACGCACATGCACACGCACACACATGCACACTCCGGGATAGTTTTGTTTTCCCTGCCTACTTGGTGGCGGTCAGTCTATAGCTGTGACTACTGGTGTCAGTACTTGTCTGCCGCTGTGTGCAGACTGCTCCGTATCTATCAGTGTTCCATGTTGACTACATCATAATACAGTTCCTTTGTTACCATCCCCTGTCCTCTCTCCTGGTAGATAATTTCCCCTCCCTTCCACTGGGTCCCATCAGAGGTTTCTAACAGGGACCATAATTATCAAGTACAGCCTTGTAGGTATTCATGTAATGCTCGATGGCCAACTCTCCCTTCCCTCTCAGCTCCATGGATCTTGGGTAAAAAACCCAATGGTCCCTGAACATAGGTGGTTTATTTTCTCTCGGGAAGCACACCTCCAAGCTCTAGAGAGTTTGGGGAGACGTTTGGGTTCCAAACCACTTCAGAATTCTCGGTCCCTGGTGACTCACTGTTTCACAAAAGCAGATGAGGAGGGCTGCGGAGTTTGAGTAAACTGCTCACTGTACGAAGCTAAGCAGAACCAGCAAGAGTTTCACTGACTTTGTGCTCCACAATCTCACCGGAACTGTGGATTACAGGAAGATGTATCGACATGGAAAAATACAACGGAATTTCAAGTTACAGAGGCAACTACAGTGCTCTGCTGAACTGCAGACATGTTGAAAGTCATGTTCTCTGTGCTCAAAAGATTAAGAATTTTTAAAATGTTTCTTCTTCAAATTATATAAATTCATATAATGAATGAGGAACTTCTTTTTCTTCTAACAATCATGCATCAAAAATTAAAGACAATTTGTGGTGTTTTTCAACTTAAAATGTATGTACACAAAAATTTTAAGCCATGAAATTTGATTAATTTTTTTCCAAAATGTGTGAGATGAATAAATAGCTGATTAGTGTTTTGTTTTGTTTGTTTTTTTCTTTTTTTGGAGAAAGTTTTTTTTTTTTTTTTTTTTTTTTTTTTTTTTTTTTGTGTGTGTGTGTGTGTGTGTGTGTGTGCATGCGCATGTGTGTTCTGAGGCAGGGTTTTATTCCAGGCTGGCCTTGAACTCTTAGAAATCCTTCTGCCTCAGCGTCCTGGGATTATAGGCATGCACCACTATGCCCAACCTGGGGAAAATATTCATGGCAATAAAACAAAACAAAACAAAATCTGTCAGGATATTGCTAATGTGAAGAGTACTGCAGATTTTGAGTCAGGCCTACAGAATTTCTGCTGGACAAAGCCTGCACCTGCAACCTGTGGAATGCTTACCAGGCTTCTGCCCAGGAGAAGCAGGATGACCCTTGTCCACTGACCGTTCTGTCACTCTGGCCTTAGGAAGTGTGCAGGGAAACTTGTGCGAAGAGGAAAACCAGAGTTAGAGGGAAACAGCTGGATGACTTATCTCCATTCAGCTCAATTCCAAGGGCAAACTATATCTCCTAAATGCTTTCATTAAATTTACCAAATGATATTCATAGTCGAAGCAAATTGTTAATGCAGAATTTGTGATCTGTCATGGATATTTTCCAATCTTTTGTTGCTCTATAACAAACAGTACCTCACATGTACCTGTGAGCATAGGACCGTAGACCTGCTTCCTATAATTGTGTACTAAGCCACGTTATTGGGTTATTTGGTGCCTTATGTCATGGGAAAGACTGGAGGACTCTCCCAATAGATCACAGCCTTCTTGACCTTGATTCCCATCATACAGCTTTAAAGCGAAAAACAACATTGGCTCTGGTTCCATGCACCTGTCCACAACCCTTCAGCGGAATTATTCTGGATTCAGGAGCTGCTTATATTTTGGCCTTGCTTCCTAGTCTCTTATTTTGCATTATATTTATTCCTAATTTACAGGTAGAAATAGTGATATTTCTGTCACACACTTCTAGGAGGTGTTTCCTATGAGTTCATGCATGTCAGCAACTCAGAAAAGGTGCCCAGCCATCACAGCCCCCCACATTCCTCATGAAACCCCTCTGTGCATTGACCCTGCCCCCAGCCCTGCCAACCACCACTGGACTGGTTCCGTATTTTTTCACATTCTACAATTGTCTCTATTTTATGCTACTTAAAATTTCTTAATATGGGCAGAATAAAAATACCAAATATATGAAAATAATAGCAGGGAATTTTTTACATGAATGTGAAATGAAAATTCATTTTACTTTTCAAATACAATAAGTTTAAATTCAGTAGACTGTCATTATTGTATTTCCAGTTCCAACACTTGATTGGAATTGTTCTTGTCAAGATAACAACACAATCTTGCAATCATATTTAATCACCTCCAAGGCTGTGTATACAATATAAAATTCTCATTTACAAATTTCCTTTTGAGGCAATAACCGGATCACATCCTGCTGTGAGAAATAAGACAGAGATAGATAAACATACTTGTGAGACATAAAAGATGTAAGAACATTTGAAATAGCTGTCACAGGCCAAGTCTACAACCTGAAGTAAAAACTGAATTACTAATCAGCTGTGAGAGAATATTTTACCATGTTATCATGGGAAATTCTCATATTCTGAATATGGTTGTTTGTTGAGTGTTTTTATCATGAGGATGGATTTGATTTGGGCAAATCTTTCTCCTCTAGATTGAGATGATAATGAATCTGTTGTCTTTTATTAGTCTTCTTTCTTTTGTTATGCATTCTTTTCCATTTCTATTGTGTGCTAACTGACTTTTGCCTACAAAGCCAACCTTGCATTCGTAGAGATTCCTTACACTTGGTAATGGAGTACAATCTTTTATTAATGCAATTTGATTCAATTTGTCGATGCTGTGTTTAAGACATAAAGGAGAGGAGTCGGTCTGCAGATTTTTTTTAATATTTTATTTCATTTTATTTTTTGTCTTTTTCATTTTTATTGGTACCAAGGATCGAACTCACGACCGCCTGCTTGCAAGGCAGGTGCTTATGCCGCTGAGCTAAATCCCCAGCCCCCGGTCTGCAGATTTTATGGCACGCTTTCCAGTGTTTTGGAAAAGGACAGAAATGCTTATTTTGCAGAATGTAGGTTTTTTGGTAAAATTTACTATGCTACCATTTCGTCTATGTTTTCTATTCTGGGAAAATATTTATTCAATCAATAATCTGGTATTTTATAGATTTATGTTAGATTTCCTACATTTCCTTGAGTCAGTTTTATCAGTTTGTATCATTCTTGGAATTTATTTATTTTTTAGATATCTAAGTTATTGGCATGTATTGTCATTATCACTTCTCTGTAATTTTAAAAAAATATTTTCTAGGTGGTTGCTTAAATCTCTTTCATTTGTGATTTTAATCGTTTGAGTATTTCTCTCTCTCATTCTTTCATCCATTTAACTAAGAATTTTGCAATTTTGTATCTTTTCAAAGGTGAAATTTCCTTTCTTGATTTCCTCTTTGTTTCATTGCTTTATTAGTATTATTTTGAATTTATTGAAAATAGAAATTCAAAGTCTTTACTTATAGGACTACCAACAGATTGCCCATGGACACACTCAAAATGTCCCCCTCCCCCTAAAAGCTGTGGCTTCCCCATCACTGAGCCTGGTCCTGTGGTGCTAGCCCAAAGCTGTGTGGGAGCCTATGAGTACAAGTGTAGGAGGTCACAGGTTCTGGCCCCTTGTCACATGACCCCAGATTCCTGTTGGGTGTGCTGTGCACAGAGATGCCATTCTTCAGGCCACTGGCTCTGAGCACACACCACTGACTGCTTTTAAAATGAGAATTAATTTTTGCTCTAATTCTTGCTACTTCTTTCACTGGCATGTTTGTGCTGGATTTGATGTGACATTCAGCGTGTCTCAGAGAAATCTCAGGGAATGATGATATTGTTTCTTCCATCATTATCAATACTGCTTTTGGTTACAAATTTTCACTGATAAATTTACTGTACTCCTTTACCCGAGTGGAGTTTTCCTATTTTCCCCTTTTATTTATTTATTTGTCTTTTTGCAATGTTTTCTAATTACTCTTGTGACTTTGAACGTCCTGAAGCTCGTGGTACAATACTTTAGCCATACACGCTTGTGTATTTCCCTTATTTCCTCTGACACTGACTTTGTATTTCACTCACTTCTCATCAGGGAATAGATTTGTGTTTAAATATATTCATTGACAATTTCCTTCCCGCATGTCATTCGGCCTCCTTGATGCCCTGGAGCGGGAAGTGTAGATTGTGCCATCCTGCTGAGTGCCAGCCATCAGGGAGCCAGGTGAGGATCTGTACTGACTGGCCTTCTTTGTGCCCTCTGTTCCAGGCTGCTCTGAGCTTGCCATGGAGGCTGAGCCCTGCCCTGTCCCCCCAAGCACATGAGTAGGGGTGAGGGTGAGGGATGAGCAGGCCCAGGGCACTGCACAGACGCATCGCTGCCGGGTGGGGACTGAGATGAACACAGCTGGACACTGCCAACAGTGACCTGAACGTGGAGCACTGCCTGCCTCTGTGAGCAGGAGATGCAGGGTCAGGTGGCCCTCAAGCCCAGCCCATGCGACTGTGACAGGAGAACCACACAGCAAATTCCCAGCTCCACTGAGAGTCTGAGGAAGGCCGACTGCCTGCTTGGCCTCCAGCTAAGATGGCAGTGGGGAACTCGCTCACTGCCTCTGCCTTTTGTGGACCAAAACTCCTGCTGTGCTTGCCTCCACTGAGGCTGTGGTAGCTTAGGGGAATCTGAGGAGCAGCCAAGCTTCCATTGACATGTATTGAAATCAGGTGAATTGCATTGCTGTTTACTTAGCCCGCCCCTTTCCTGACCCTTTGGCGAGTGCCCACTGACTTTGCCTGGAGTTGCTTCTGTCTGTATGTTTTGGGGGATTCTAAGTTGAAGAACTTCAGCAATTTCTTGTACAGGGTAAGGAAGGTGATAGGAAACCTGCAATGCTCATCTTTGCCCTATTCCTCACCCTGAGAGCCTAAATCCACTCCTGAGTCCTCTTCCTCCTCTTCGTCGTCGTCCTCCTCCTCTTCCCCCTCCTCCTGACCCAGCGAGGTCTTCTGGCCTTGCTCCCTGTGTTGCACATAGCTGATTTAGGTGTAAGAAGGACAATCTGGAGGGCCTTCTGACTTTGCCAGAGCTGAACCCACCTCCCCCTGTTCTCATGAGAGCTGTGACACCCCTCCTTCTCTGCCTCCACCAGCTCTGAGGCTGGAGCAGAAGGTGGCCATTGGCATGCTGAGTGTGAAAAAGATCTTGAGGGAGGAGCAGAGCAGGAAGGCTGGTCTCCTCCCCTGGGGCTTCCACTGTGGTGAGATTTAATATAAGATGTGGCTGAAGTAGTGAAGTACGGGACAGGGACCAGATCTGTTCACAGACTGAAATAGTCTTGACGTACGCATTGAAAGGAGATCGACCATCAGTAAAGCTGGCAAGGAAGCAACTCGATGGGCTGCACACTTCCTGAGGCAGGGAGGGATTATTCCCCGAACACCAGTTAATGTGGCAGGAGAGGGAAGAAGCTTTCCAGCCTGTCAATGAATTTAGCGTGTTCAGCTCACCATTTATGAGATGTTGAACGTTACAACTAGGTAAAGTTGTAAAGAGAACCCGGTATGACATCACGGCAAAAAGAAGATAAATTCGAACATTAAACCCAGCCATTTGTTACCAGACCACTAAAGAATCCACTAACGCCTTTTAAAAACAGTACAAGTGAGCAGGATCCATTTCCACTCTTCATGAAGCTCAACAGTTGGGAGTGGATCTGTGACCTGGGCGGCTGCCTCTCCCTCCTGTTCCTGCCCGTCTCTGCTTCCTTGGGCACTGACACAGGGGCTCCCCACAGCTGGGCCCAGTGCCAGACCCCGTCTGCCCGGAAGCCAGCTGACTGTGGACTGTAAGGAGGAGACAGAAAGAAACTGTCCTCCTGAAGATGTGCCAGGACTGCATCCCCTGAGAAGAAGTGACAGACACCACTGTAAGTGCTGGCCCTGAACTCCAGCCACTCATTCAGGTTGGCACTTGGTGCTTCCATTTTAGTACAAGATACTCAAGGATTTTGCTCTGAATTGGAGATCAGCCAAAGTCTATCATCAAAGATCTCTTATGGATTTCAAAACATGAGTAACTGAACCAGTTGTTTTGGTGCATTGCCCTCTCTGGAGCCTACATTGATTTAAGTTGGTAGAGACACACATTTTTTTGTGGCCTTTCTGATGCCGGTCACTTAGGATTTTGCTCTAAATGGGGTATGCAGAGTTCTGTGACTGTGTCCTCAAGGTTTTTTGAGACGACCCATAAAATTTACTTTTTCCACTTCTCCTAGCCTGAGTCTTCTAGTGCAACCCAGAGACCTGCAATTTTCCAAGAGAACCCTTATTTTATAACAAATTATATTTTAATTGCACATAAAATCTGTCACCTTTCTTACAGATTTACAAATGTGATATTATTTTGCAGTCACTAAAATGGAAATTTGAGAAAAAACTGTATAAGATCAATAAATAAGAATTAAAAATTATTTTCCTAGGGAAAAATTGAAAATACTGTGTTTTAAGTATGTATGATACATTGAATATCTTATGTCTGTGCTTCCTTATCCTATGAAAGAGTAACTGTAGTCTCTTATCCTTATAATTCCAAGATGCTTTCAACAAGCAATTTTCTCATTTTGACCACCAAGCTGGAATTTATGACTGGGTCTTTCCACCATCCAGCTGATAATCTAGAGGTCCCAAAGCATGAGATGGACCCTTGGCTTCATCTGACAAATTAGGGTTCATGCTCTCCCCCAGCCAGGTTGGAACAGTGGAACTTTGGAACCCATTTCCTTGTGTTTTCTGTTCAGGTATGTCAATGCTTTTTAAGATCCATGCTCCTGCACTCAGGTATATTTTTATGATTGTCAGCTGCACAGAGAGCAAAGTCTTCCCTTTAAACTTATTATCCTTGTCCTAATAACTGTATTTCTAATTACATTGTTTGATAAAATGAAGGAATTTATGAATATCATACACTCAGTCTCCTTTATTTCCTGTGTGCTTCCTTGTTTTTATTGTTCAACATAATAAAGCCTATTTTTCCCCCAAGGCTACACAGCTATCTGTCATACAATTACTTTCTTTCTGTAGTTTTGTATACATTACATAGAAATAAATCATTTCTATACTTCATCTTTTTAATGCTATTTATTTTCTATTGTTTTCAGAAAAAAACAAAGAAAGCGATGTTGGATATTTGGTCCTGGGTTTCGGTTACTTTCCCTGGACTTTTCATCCCTGGGCATGTGTTTATGTGGTTTCTCATTTCATGCTGTATAGCATGCAATTAGAGTTTACAAATGACACCACCTCATTGTAATCAGACCTTTAATTATATTAATTTATTAATTTATTTAATTATATTAAGGTAATCATTTATACATCTTCAAACCTTTCTTTCTTGGACATGGCTTGGCTTTACATACTTTCAAAACTTTCATGGGAAAGACAATTCTAAAACAAGGTTTGATGAGCAGGGCTTGATTTCAGGTGTCAAGTTTCAGCTGAAGGTCAGACAAGAAGCTGATCTCTATTTAGACTGCAAATCAATTCTGTTTCTATCCTGTTTATATTTTCCTGTCACTTCACAGGAGCTACTTGGCATAACTTATTCCATAGATTTTAGGTAAAGATCAAACTTACAAAATATGTGAGGATATCAAATCATCAGATAAAATAATTACTTGCTACTTACAGAATTAGTAGTTAATTTCTGAAATATATATTGTCTTTCAGGTTTCAGAAAAAGTAAATACAAAAGTGTAACCATGATATGATGACACTGTCACAACCTACAGGTTCATAACGTTAGTTACCTTCCCAGGGTGTGACACCTTCAGATCTCTGTGTTACTGGGGATCTACGGGGTTTTCAAGCAATAAAACTCATGGAATTAGCCAGACTTCCTGTGACTGGGACCAAGCATCCGAAACCCACAACTTAAGGAAGGAAGTTGCTCCTTTGGCTCAGAGTCTCAGAGGCCTCCATCGTGGTCTGCTAGGTCCCTGGCAGACACAGCATTGTGTGTGGGCGTGGGGGAGCCAGAGTGGTTGCTGCACGGTGGCCAGGAAGGGAGCTGGGGCACAGCTTCCCACCCGAAGGGGCAGGGGGCAGGTAAAGACCCTGGATCCCACCTCCGTGACCACACAGACGTGCTCTAAAGTGCCTGTTGCTCTTTCCCAGGCAGCCACCAAGCCAGGGAATCTTCACTGATACACTTTCCTGCTGAAGACTGAGTTGGCACCAGGCAGCACCGAAAGTGCTCGAGAGCGGCTTCCTGGTCCACTAGTGTCACCTGTTACTCTTGTTTGTTCCTGGGTCACCTCCTAGGAGACATCGCTCCACTTTGTGGGGAGGAAATTGGAACTCATTTTCATAATGGAATAAATAATGCATAATTACAAGGCAAAGTCATTTTAGCAAAATCATGTGATCTAATCAGGCAACGAATGAGTATTTATGGAACTACTTTTATAGACTGCACAGAGTTTGAATTCCATAAGTGGGACAAGGTGCCTGCTTTCCTCAGAAGAAACACAATTTTAATGCATTGAAATCTCAGTGCATAATAATAAAGACACTTTCAACTGAAAAGTGTTACCCCAAGTGTAACACAAGTCAAGTGATAGAAAAATATTGTGCTCAAAGTCCTCCCAAGGGGGCAGGATCCGAGCTGGACACTAACTCAACTCACCAAAAGGAACATGAGGATGGCTGAGTGATTAT